CTCAGGCTGGTCTCGAACTCCTGACCTTGAGCGATCCACCCGCCTCGGCCTCCCAGAGTGCTAGGATTACAGGCGTGAGCCACTGCGCCCGGCCTCAAATAATCATTTTTAAAATTTGTTTTAAAGTAATAAATGCAGGGAATATAAAAATCAAATATGTCAGTTCCTGGCCTTTTGTGGGCCTCAAGACTCAGATAATCTTTTAGTTATTTCTTCTGGCATTTACTGCTGTATTTCTAAGTATTATTCTGATATTACGATTTCTGAAATTTTTACATTTCAAACAGCAGATACTAGCTTTCTGTGGTGGCTGAGGAGTTAGCGCTCTTAAATGGAGCACCTGCTCCCCTCCCCTACCCAGCCCCAAGTGCCACTTGCCCTGCACCATTTTCCCAATGCCCAAGTTCATATGTGGATTCTAGGTTGCAAATAACAACTTGCAGAATTTTTAAGGCACCAAAGTGCCTGCACCATTTTACATTCCCATCAGCAATGCATAAAGGTTCCAGTTTTTCCACATCCTTGTCAACACTTGTTATTGTATGTCTTTTTACACCTATTTGAAAGGTGTAAAATTCAGTGGATTTTAGTATATTCACAACGTGCACCATCGCCGCAGTCTAATTTCCATTGCTTCAGGTCATTCATCATTGCACGGATCAAAGTTCACTGAGCTTGTAGGCACTCAGCAGAGATTCCTTCGGGCTGGTAAATGGGCTTTGCTTAGGGAATCTGTCTATTTGATGTAAAGAAAGGTTCATAATGATACCACAATTCCACTCCTGTGTATATACCCTAAAGGATTGAAAACAGGTATTCAAGCAAGAACTTACACATGAATGCTTGCTTATTTATTTATTTATTGAGACAGGGTCTCATTCTGTCACCTAGCCTAGAGTACAGTGGTACGGTCATAGCTCACTGCAACCTCAAACTCCTGGGCTCAAATGATCCCCTTGCCTCAGCCTCCCAAGTAGCTGGGACAATAGGTGCATGCCACCACACCCAGCTCTTTTTTCTGTTTTTTGTAGACAGGGTCTTACTATGTTGCGCAGGCTGCCCTTGTTGAACTCCTGGCCTCAAGTGATTCTCCCACCTCCACCTCCCTAGGATTACAGGCATGAGTCACCCCACCTGGCCTCACACAAATGCTTAAGGCAGCACTATTCACAATAGTCAAAAGGTAAAAACAAACCAAATGTTCATCAACTAAGAATGGATAAACAAAATGTGGTATATCCATACAATGGAATATAATTTGGCCACAAAAGGAATGAAGTATTGATATATGCTACAAGATGGATGTTACAGCATTGAAAACATTATGTTAAGTAAAAGAAGCCTAAATGCCCAGAAGAGGCAAATGACAGAAAGTAGACTAGTAATTGCTTAGGGGTGTGATAGCTAAGGGAGCCAGGGTTTCTTTTTGAGGTGATAAAAATATTCTAAAATTTTTTGGGGGGGATGTGGGGAATAGGGGAATGCCTGACTGCTCCCCCAATATTCTAAAATTGACTGTGGCAATGATTGCACGTATCTGTAAATACATTAAAAACCATTGAATTATATACTTAAAATGCATGCATTATATGGTATGTAAATTATATCTCAGTATAGCTGTTTAAAATAGAAAGGCTTGTAAGGGTCTTTAAAAGACTGTTCTAGAAGCCACTATAAAAGCCCTACCTATATTAATGGCTCTGCCTCCACCTACTGCTGCTCCATGCAAGGTCACATGAATGCACCTACTCTTGCAGTCTCTCTGCAGGTTTCTTCAGTAGAGCTTTCATTGCCATCACTCACCCTAGACTTTCCGAATCAAGGCCCTGGGGTGGCTTTCCCCCCATTCTTTTAGCTTGTTCAAATTACTGACATTTTTTACCTTTTATTTCTCTGCTAAAAGTCCTGCAGGTAAGTTGTTTTTTTCTGTCTTACAACCCTAGCTGCTCTTTCAGATTCTGTGTTTGGGCTATATTCCATAAATAATATAAGTCTTATAGCCACACGTCATTTAAATTAAAATTTAAATGTCTTGGTTCATTCACTCTTGTTGATTTTATAAACTTGACAGTGAATATGCTGTTGGCTAAGAGACTTCAGGAGCACTGGGTGAATACGGGGTGAGTGACTGTCCTGGCTTCCAGGCTGGCATCAAGTCAGAAGTGGTTCATTTCCTCGGGGCCTGAAATTCACATGAGTTAGCCCAGGTAGCCCAGCGTTATGGAAAACAGGAGGTTAGGGATAGCAGCTCTTGGTTAGATGACATGGAGAAGTGGTGATTTTGTGCATCGAGGAGAAAACTTAAAACAATTGGCAAACTTCTCTTCCTCAGCCTTCCTGTTGACATGACTTACCTCTGTCATAATCTCTTTTCCTTGGCACAGGCTTACGTTTACATGATTCTAGTTTTTTTTTCCCCTCTCCAAATAATATTAGTCAGGTTTCTTGTTTAGTTGTCACCTCTCTCTCTCGATATATTTGTCATCAGAGTGCCATTTTTGTGCCTTAAATATATACAGACCAAATGTCTGTCCCTCCCATCATTTCCTCCTTCCCTTTTCCTGAAGAACTCACAGCCTCTGATGATATCTTAGGGCTCTCCTGGAAACGCTTTTGACCACTTTAAATGCGTTGGTTCTGGTTTATTTTGTTGTTGGCTGCAGAGCGAAGTAGGTTGCCTTTCTCAGTTTTTAGGTGTTTTCCTGCAGCTCCGTTTGCCCCTTCACCTCTGGTAAGCTGAGGCTTCTCACAGTCCCCTTGTCCTTTGCCCAGCTCCCACGCTTTTTCCATACAGCCCACAGCTGGAACCACTTGCCATGTTGGTATAGTCTCTCTGGCCAGGAGGTTAAGGAAAACCAGGAAGTAGTTATTCAAGTCTACCTTTTAATCTTAATACCTATTCTAATATAATAATGTGTACTTAATATTTACAGAACACCCACACTTACTCCTGTTACTAGCAAATGTGCTGCAGATCATTGGATTAAAGGATGAATAATTAACAAATTGATGGAACTTCAGAAATACCCAGAGCTCTTTATTCATCTTACTAAAATAAATTGCTTTACAGGGCTTTGAATTCATAGCCAAGAACAATTTCAAGAATAATGCTGCATATAAGTTCTTAAAAAAGTCCTTTTGTATACTTTTATGTGGTAATTACTTAATTTTAGATATGTTAGAGGCAGATCTTCAAATGGTATTTCAAGGCAGATTTTTTTAATTTTAAAATTGAAATAGCTATATAATTTTCTAGTTACATGTATTAAAAACATTTGTATATGACAACTGCATTAATGTTACAGGCTATAGATCAATTTAAATTTTGTGACAAAGGAAAGTGACTACAGTAGATTAGGAATATAAGCTGTACAATAGCTGGGAAAATAAGTCCATGTTAACTGAAGGAAAACAATAAAAATAATGTGGAAGTAAATTATAAAATTCAGTCTGCCATGTGCTTATTTGAGTTGAAAAATGATATGAAAACCTATGTACCTTACAAATTCATCAGAAAGTTGTCTGGAGTTCTGTGATGTAAAATTGCTTGTAGATGAGAACACAATGAAGTGGTTCTGTTTTTTCTCCCTGAAAATGAAAATTATACTTTTTTCTATATTAAAAGTAATTATGAAAAAAATTCAGTAACAGAAAACCCCAAAAAAGAAAAGAAAATCACTCATTCCATAGACAATAAAATTTTATATTTCAGACCTTTTTTATAATTTTTATAAAATTAGAATTTTGTAAACATTTCTTCTTAACTTGCTTTTTCCTGCTTAACAATGTTTTGCAGATATCTCTCACACCAATATATATAGTTCTATATAATATTTAATTAATGGTTAAATAGTATTCTATTTTAGAATGTACTTTTAGTTTACTTGAGTAATCCATTTAGGTTTTTATTCAGTTTTAGTTATCGTTCTACATAGATCTGTGATAGATGTTCTCATACATTCTTTGCATACTTTGGTGTTTATTTTCTTAGGATAAATTTCTGGAAGTGACATTGTTGGGTCAAAGGGTACATGCATTTTTAGTTTGATTCTAGTCACCACATTGCCCACCAGAAAGGAATGATAAATTTTTTGTTACATTCAAGGTAGGCTTGGCTTGTGTCCAGTTTCTTGCTATAATGCATTGTTAATGAGACTTCAGAAAATATACAGAGCCACAGCAGTATTATGATGGAATTTATTATATACTAGAATTTCACATGTTAGAGAAGTTGTGTTAGGTCCATCAGTGAGGGAAATGTTTATATTTGCAACTTGGATTGTGCGATACTCATTTTCAAAAGCAGTACTTTCTTGCCAGCAGGTAAACTGTGATGCTGGGATTATGCATTGGTATTTTGCTCTTCAGGGAGCTTAATCACAGAGCATGATCCTTTCTTATCTTAGATGAGTGACCGAGGAGGTGGTGTACCTTTGAGGAAAATTGACAGACTCTTCAACTACATGTATTCAACTGCACCCCGGCCTCGTGTTGAGACGTCTCGCGCGGTGCCCCTGGTATGTGATGGAAAAATAGTGAAGGTATTTCTGTGAATTGCCCTCAACAGGCTCTGGCTGCCACATAAATTAGCTAAGCCACTGTGTAGGGTGATCCACAAGGGAGAAGGGAAGCTGTTAGAAACACACACTTTTCTCTAAATTTGAACAAGCTTTGGAATGCTTTTTTTTTTTAATTGAAATGGGCATAAGACAAAGATTATTATTTTGGAGTTCTTGTTGCCAAGTTTGATAGTCTTATAGCAGTGGTTTTCCTGGGGTGGTAAACCATATTTTGATATGCTATTTCTAATGGGAAGAATGAATTACTGGTTTACCAGTATTTGGTCAATACTAATTTAATCTTCGGTGTTGACTTTCTTCAGTATTTATAATTAGAAAGATCTCAAATTCTAGACTCAGAAATAGACTAAAGTTCTGATTTGTTTAATTACCAACCTGAAATAGACTCAAATTTTAATTGTTTTGAGGGTGTTTTTATTGATTTTAGTGTCACCTATTTTCAGGTTTAATAAGATTAACTTTTGAACTGAGTCCGTCTTTATCTTTATCCCCCAACCTCCCAAAATAGCACTTTGCCGAATTTTTGTCCTGTAATTCTGGAAGAACTCTATTCTTCCAGACTTTGAAACTTCTCTGGATTTCCACTAGACTTAAGCACGATGGAATATAGTATAAGATGAATCTATTTTAGACCCTTTCCTGGGAAGTTACTAGTAGGACTTTATTCTTTTTTCCCCCAGCAATTTAGATATCATTAGTTTATCATAAAAGAGAGACATGGAAATTATTTACATGATAGGAAAATTTCAGAACTTTAGTGGAATGAGCAGCTGCAGGTTGATGCCATTTCAATAGTGATTTATTTCAGTCTGCATACTTTCCAAGAATGTCACCATCCTTAAACAGGAAATAATCCTTGTTGTCTAGAACGAGTTTGATGCCTCCGTATTCTGGGAGAAGAACTTTATCTCTGACTTTCACACTCACTGTCTAAATCTCTCCATCCTTTCCTTTAGAGCCCGATCCAACAGCTACTACTGTTGCTTGCTATACTTTTCCTTGGGAATTTTCTAGAAGCATGATGTCTCCTTTGGTTACAGTTTCAGCTGCACGCCTTTCAAGCAATACTCAGTCAAAGAGTGGAAAAACTTTCTAAATACTTGTCCAGCCATGACTCCCACTGCCGCTGCAGCTCATACACTGCTCTCATGCTGCCGCTGCAAGGAGAGACCCCAAGACTTTATTCTAATACTTTTATCTGTTGCATAGCACAGATTCTGTGGCTGCAGCTGTGATACAGTTTGAAATGATTGCTTTAGTAATGTGCTTCTCCAACTGAGATATGTGGCTTCCGGGAACAGGCATTCATGTGCCAGGGGCAGGCAGACAATGTTAAATGATAAGCATCTTCTTAGAATTATAATTTTACTCTAAAAAGTAGGGAGAGAGAAGGGAGATGTTGCTTTTTGTAGTAAACAAATATCATAGAATTTTTGTGGAGAGTGACATAGTGAACTAGTCCAGACTCTGGAACTGTCTGGTTCCGTTCCCAACCCCACTACATCTTAGGTTTGGGAAAATTAGTGACCTTTCTATGCCACAGTGTCCCCAACTTGAAAAATGGAGTTTTTGTGAGGATTAAATAAGTTAATATATAGCAGTGCTTTTTATAGTGCCTGGCACATAATAAATACCATGTATTTCTTTTCTTAGGATGCAAAATTTATTGAATTTTTAAGAAAACAGGCTTGATGTGGAACAGGCTCCTGCATATATCTACGCAGCCTTAGCCAGGGTTCAGACTGTTACTAATATTAAGTTCTTGCAGAACCTCTTTCCTGCTGTCGTGACCACTTTGCAAGTGGACCCAATCAGCAAGTGCTGGGGTAGCTAGAGAGTGGCTGCCCGATATCCACAGCAGTGGCCTTCTGATCCACCTGAATACTGAGCGCTTCCTCCACGTAGATATCTTCTGGTGGGCATTGTCGTGGACAGGATATCCCCAAACTTTAAGCCCGTTCAGAGAGGAGCATCCACATGTGTCTCTTCCCGACTTCCTTCTCGTCAGTTCTCCAATTTTGTTCTTTCCAAGTCCCTGACCACCCAGCCAACTACCTGTTTGCCACTGCCCATCCTGGAGGGATTTTCTTTCACCACTGTCTTTCAGCCCCTGAGAGGAGTTGTAGTGAAAGGGCGGTCCACTTTGGGCTGGTGCTAGCATACCGCGTAGAACCATCAGTGGACTAGGCCCATGCTGTTTTTCTTATCTGTTACTTTATTTTTATTTTTTCCAAATTTCATATGTTGAAGTTCTCTGTTACTTAGTTGTAGGGGAAGCCCTGTGAGTCCACAGGTGTGGTCGGAGGAGAAACAGTGATAAACTAGGTCAGGTACCATGAGAGCTTGCGCTACCTGCTTGTACAGTTTTCTTGGGGCCATTTCTGGAACCAGTTAATGTATCAGTCAGAGTCAGAACAGGAAGGAGATAGCTCACTCGAATTATAATTCAAGGAAGGTTTATTTACAAAAAAATTAATTGCATAGGTGTAAGTAAGGATAGTGTAGGACCCAGTGCTGGCAGCAGCAGAACTGTCACCACCCTGGATCAAAGGGATGAACAGAGGGCGAAGTCAGCAGAATCCAGAAGGAGGGAAGGTTGCAAAGTAGCTGCTTACTCCCAAGGGACCCAGCCTGCCCCAGGAAGCCTCACAGGGAAGGAACCAGAGGAACAAATGCCCTGCCTCCCTCTGAACTGTTGCTGGGTTGTCCAGGACCTGCTGGAAGCAGAGGGCATGGGGATCCATTGAGATAATCCTTTTTCAGGTCAGCCCCCCAGGGCAGGGGGAAGTGTGGAAATTGGATAGTTGATTTGTAGGGGCAAACAGAAACTCTCATTAGAAAAGTCAAGTAATAATTGGTGGAGGAAGGTAAAGTTGGGAGTCTGGGTTTGTTAATAGCACTCTTGATTCCTGAGTCTACATAAAATCTTAACTAACATGCTGTATGGGATGTCATTGGACATATATCTGGGTGATAAAAACCATTTTTACATTTATCCAAATGTTTCGTATTAAAGAATTGGTAGGACTTATCCAGGGAAAGGAGGAGGCTATTCCGGATACTGGGAACAGGATGAACTGACACAGAAGTGATGTTTAAGGAGCTAAGTGCAGGGGATGTAGTTCTGCAGACTGGAAAGTGGGAGGCCAAGACCTGATCTTGTTAGGTCTAGAAAGCTCTTTTTAGAAGCTTGGATTTTTATCTCTAAGGCAATGAGGTGAGGGTGGTGGGAGTGGTGGTATGCTTTGAAGATTTTTAAGCAGGGATGTCACCTGTCAGTGAGATGTAAGAAAGTAGACCCGTTACAGATCTCTCCAGGTTCAGGACACAGACTGGAAATTTATGGTATGAAGTCATGAGATATATTTATTAGGCTGCAACGAGACTTTTTCTACTCTTGCCCCTGAAAGAGATAACATGTTTTATATGATATTGCCAAAAGCAGTATTGGCATATCATAGAGCAGGCCAGCGAGGAAAAGCAACCTGCTTTTTCTGGACCACCACAAGTCATTTTGTAGAGAGAATGAAGAGCTTTAAGTGACCAGATGGGAGTCAGCTGACATAGTACTCAACTAAGCATCCACTTAATCATTATCAATACTTACATATTAACAAATCTCTTAGATGCAGGCTCTGAGAGCCCTGGGATACTCAGTGGCATTTGTCTTAATTAGAAAAGTAGTTCCATATGTGGCTCTCTGAATAGAATTTTGTTTTTCTCATCAAACAGGCTGGTTTTGGTTATGGATTGCCCATATCACGTCTTTATGCGCAATACTTCCAAGGTGACCTAAAGCTATATTCCCTAGAGGGTTATGGGACAGATGCAGTTATCTACATTAAGGTAATAACTATAGTCTTCTTGATTTAATGATACGAAAAAAATGCCAGTATCTAACTGTAATGAAATTTAACTCTACCTCATGCTGTTTAAATACAAAAAAATTGTGGTTTTATACATGGGATTCCGTCATGTAGAGAGATGGTCCCCTTGACTGTGGGGATCATTCTGTCATGATTGGGACTATGATCGTTAATAGGAAAAAAATTGGGTTAAAGTAGAGAATCGTAAAGAATTATATATCATAAAATCGCATTTGTATTTATTCATTTTTTTTTTTAGAGACAGGGTCCCGCTCTGTTACCCAGGCTGGAGTACCGTGGCCTGCTCGTAGCTCACAGCAACTTCGAACTCTTGGGCTCAAGCGATCTTCCTGCTTCAGCCTCCCGAGTAGCTGGGACTACACGCATGCACCACCATGCCCAGCTAATTTTTTATTTTTTTTTTTTTAGAGCTGGGGTCTCGCTATGCAAATTTAATTTTAACATAAAACACCTGAATGGACATTGACCCACCAATCTTTTGATGTATTTATTGCTAAGGCCTTTTCCTTGTATATGTGTCTGCAAATTGGAGTGTCATATTGTCTTTCTTGCAGAAGCTATACTTAACAATGTATCATTTTAGTTTCTTTAAACAAAGAAACAAACAAATGCATAATCCTTTTGCAATCCTTTACAGATGTTTTCTGACTCTGATTTGTTAGCAATTTTTATGTGGCTTTCCTTTGTGAATCTTTCCAAAGCATTCATCTTAGTTTTCAAAGAAACTGTCCCTTTTTTTGTTCTTTGTTTATGTAATAATAAAATTTTATGATTATAATGACAGATGTAACTACATAAACAGATTCGGGAACAAGCACAGGTGACTCTTGGGAAGCCTATAGCTTACCTGGTGGGAGCAGAAACACTTAGCCCCCTGGCCTGAAATGTTCATTGTGTTTACAGAGGGATCAGTATATACTTACAGGGATGGCAGAAGCACTGGGCCCCATCAGTCCTCTTGGTTGGTTAAGGGGTGGGCTGTTGGTGCATAATTATTTAGTGACTCTAGTTTCTTCTTCTGGCCACTAGATGGCACCTGTTTTATAGGAAATGCTGAAAAATTTATATTGGAGAAGATGAATTTTTCTGAAAAGGTTAAATTCTTTCTAGATAATAGTTGTTTTTTGACCATGTCACTTGAGAGGAACTTAAAAAGGGCAATATCAGTGCAACATTTTTATCACCAAATGTAACATTTTGATCCAACCTGTGGATCAAGAAATTCTGGAATATTTAAAGAGAATATAATATATAGGTGAAAGGTTTTTAGTTTCATTTTAGAAAAAATAGAAGACAAGAAGTCTTAAAGAATTATTAAAATCTTCAACATCAAAGACTCTACTTAGCATTATCAGAATGAAATTTCTGGTTCACTGTATGGCCTGAGGTTGAAATTCTATTGAAAAATCCTAAATGTAGTTTATCTCAGGTTCCAGTGATTTGCAGGCAGCTGCAATAGAACAGTGGACTAATGGTAACGATATATTGGAAACACGAAATCACGTGTGATGTAGAAATCACATGTACTGTGACTGAAATTGGAGGCAGGAGGAGAAGACACAGGATCAAACCCAGGGTCAAGAATTGTTTATACAAAAGCCAAGGTGCCTTATATATTTATGTTTTGTATTTATTGATAATAATGCTAATTTCTAAAAGTACAGTGACTATGCTGAAATAAATAGTATTTCTTCTAATAATTGAAATAGATTTCATTGAAGGCATATACACATATTAAGGTATATATGTCAATTTTTTTATGCTTTTATATTTAATCAACTTTTTCAGTTAGCCAACTTCTGGTCTGGGTCATGCTTTGTGTAAAATTTCAATCCAGCAGCTTCCAGGATGGCTGGGAAATTACTGCATGGAGCAAACTCAATCGACATGCACATTAATCAGTGCCATAGATTTAGTAAATAGCACATTTCAAATATATACCTTGTTTAAAAGTGTATTTAGGTATTGTTATGATTAATAAGATATCAATATTGTTTCATTTACAGTAACCTTTTTGCCATCGTCTATTTTCTCAAATAATGAATTCTCTTAAAAATGACAGACATATAAGTCTTGCTTTTTTCCTTTCTTTTTTTTTTTCCCAGGCTCTGTCAACAGAATCAATAGAAAGACTCCCGGTGTATAACAAAGCCGCCTGGAAGCATTACAACACCAACCATGAGGCTGACGACTGGTGTGTCCCCAGCAGAGAACCAAAAGACATGACAACATTCCGCAGTGCCTAGACACACGTGGGACATCTGGGAAATCCAAATGTGGCTTTCGTATTAAATTTGGAAGGGATGATGTTCAGAACTACATTATACCAAATACTTCATGTGTCATTTTCACAATTAACTATGTGGGTAGACTAAATGGAAACTGAATTCCATTTGTGCCTGTTAAACCTCCCGAACTAAAAGATGAAATTGTACCTATTTTACACTTATATTTTCACAGTTAATTGAACATATTTTTAAACTATTGTAGCTTTGGTCAATAGTTTTGGTCAAAAGCTTTCCTCTTTATGGTAGACTTCAGAAGTGTGGAAGTCTTTGGATTTCTACAAAAAACTGTTTAGTTTTTTTAAGAAATACTTTTCACCTATGTCTGCTGGAAACGTTTTTCTAAATAATGCGGATTAGCTGGTTAGCTATCTTTTTGTTATTTGGAGGAATTCTGCCATCCTTTATGTGGCAGTGACAGCTGTAACAGGGTGGTCTTCGTGTGTACCAGAGCTTCATTTACCAGACTACCAAGAAAGCAGAAAACGGTTGCCCTGTAGCATAGAACCAGCCACCTCTACATGCATTGTCTTAGCTCTTAATTTATCATTCTAAAATTTTATTGTAAAGGAATGTGATCTATAGCTCCCTATGGATCTAAGCCAAGATCACAGGCAGTCTATTTTGAGTGTGTTTGTGATTAAGGCAAGGGGAAATTTTTATACTAAAGACAAGCAAACAAACTAGCAGCTACTAAAATAGAGAAAAAATTGGGGGCAAAGCAGTGAGTTCCAAAAACTGAACTTAATTGATTACTGAGATTACCTGGGGAACTTCTGAAAAAGTACTTTTTCTGGGTCCTACTCCAGACACACTGAATCAGAATCTCTAGGGACAGAGCCCAGGAATCTCAATTTTTAAAACACTTCCTAGGTGAGTCTAAAACCTAGCCTAGTTAGGGAACCACACTCTTTTAACGTGAATAGTCTGACATAACATTTGCTAGAGTAACAGCGATCTTTAGGTTTCAATGTCCACCTATTTAAAGGTCATATTTCTAGACTGTAGGAGAAACAAACTGAATCTCGGGCCTGGTGCAATTAGCAGAACGAAGTGACTACAGGCAGCCAAGGGGTCAGAATCATAAGTACACAAGTCTTGACAAAGAACATATGTCTCCTAAAAATATCCAGATCTTATTATCAGGGGCAAGTCAGCTTAGGTTTATCACAGCAATCCTTTGCATTCACATGATTTGTAGTTTCCAAATACTTGGACCTATTACAACTCTATTGGTCTTCAAAACAAAGCGATACAGAGTGGGTGGTATCATCCGTTTTTCACTGAGAATGTGGCTCAGAATTGGAGCCAGAGCCTAAGCTCTATCTGCGGATCACATCATCAGCTGGCACGTCTGGGAGACTATGAAGTTTAGAGACTATGTTTTTAGTCACACCTCAGGTGACAGGGAAATACATTGGAAATAAACTTTAAGTAAAAATGCAAATGTTTGAAGAACAGCTTCGCCACTTAAATGGGGGAGTTTTATTTCTCTGGAAAATACATTGAGTTGAAACACCTCATTCTTGAAAGGATTCTGTGAGATTAACAATGCCATATAAGTTTATAGATCGGAAGAGGTGTGAAGGGGCAGTTAGTGCAGTCTCTCATGTACAAGGTGAGGGTCCTGAGCCTCAGAGGACGTGTTGTCTGCTCAGGGCTTCTTGGCTAATGAGACCAAGTGTTGGAACAAAGATCTTACCTAACCTGCTGTTCCTTAATGATGGATTTTGTGAAAAACAATAGACTATGTTAATGGGTGATTTATATTAGTTCAGTGTGTGATAATTTTTTAGCTTTACATTATACTTGCAATGATGAAATATTTTAGGATCCTTTGAATCCAAATGTCCACTCTTTTCTAAGTGAGACATTTGTCCAACTAACATAAACTCGATGTTTTTACTTATGAAATATTCTTCCCCCCTGAAGAAAATTAAAGCTTTTCCCTCTTTATTTAAGAGCAAAGAAATGGTGTTTTAAAGGAAAAGTGAAATTATTTTCCTTTAGCTTTCTTTTTAAGGTGTAACAGCTTTGTAGTCTTATTGTGGTAATGGATGGAAAATTACATATAAAAGTATTCTGGGAGACCTTTCTCCTAGTTGGTTTTAAATCACGGTGCTATCTGAAAGGTTTTCAGATTTTACATGAGCTATTTTGTCCACCAGCATTAATGTGATGCAGTGTAATTGTGAAAATATATTGAAGGACATAAGTGGATACTAAGTGATTTTTATAACCTGGGCAGTTAATGAATGTGCCAATGTTTTTTAGGAAGGGACAGCAAAAATATTCTGCCCTATACTTAAAATACTGGCTGGATTTTGATGTCTTCATACTTAATAGTGATCACTTTCTTGCACTGTGAAGTTTTTACATGAAGATGTTGAAGTCTACCATGTTATTTTATAAAATGTTTTCTGTATGGCAATAAACTGAAAACATGGATCAATTCTTAACGTTGAAAATAAACTGAGTCAATTTAGGTTTTTACAAATATAATCGTGTCTTTTAAATAGAAGTTTCTTCTACCATCAAGGCTCAACCTTCTGTAAACATTCAAAAAATTGTAGCTAGGTGGCTGCCACTAAATTTCGCTATCTTCAATAGAGGAACCATTAGGAATTTAGATTTCCAATCTGTATATTCTAATGGAGAAAGCAAGAGGTAGAGTTTGTATGGTCTGAGTTATCCTAGATTTTCATTATCCAAACATACCATAGATGATTGACTTACCGCATAAATGAAGATCTTCTGTTGTGTGATTTTGAAAGGCTATAAATAAATTTGAAGTTTGAATAACTTTTCACAGTTAAGTAATTGTAAGAATGGTTTTAATTTAACCAGCATTACCCGTGGCCTACACCAGTTGAATGTCAGAGCTAAACTTCTCTAGTCAAAGGTATATTCCTATCTTATTTCTAATTGGTAGGCTATAGGCACTACAACTTTCCTTCATTGTTGAAGCCAGCAAGCCCCATAACAGAACTCTAAAGATAAAGAACTGGGCAAACGTTCGTTTTATGGTTCCACTGTGGTTCAGTGAATACTAGTCAGAGAGGAAGCCAAAAAATCAACCAATTTCAGTTTATGTCTTCAGTGGTGCCATAAGTATGAAGATTCAACAGATGGATGATCAGGGTTGAGTTAGGTGGTTTGCAAACATGGTTTTTGCTGGAGGAACTTTTCATCCTGTATTAACTTCTGGACCCAATAATTAATCTTACAGTCAAACCAATGCACTTAAAAAGTAAAAGAATTCGTGCTATGTGAGAGATTTTTTTGCATGTTAGAAAAGACTGCACCGCTAGTTTGCGGTGCAGTTCGCTTATTTCTGGCATTCACTAACTACTGTGCCTTCTGTTCTATTTACATGTTTGGAAAGAAGAGTTAAACATATCATGCCACCCCCTTTTTCTAGGGGCTTTACATTTCTTTAGCAATTACTAACCATAGATTTTTAAAAGCAGAAGACAAGATTGTCAGGTTTTGGTGCAAAACTCGAGTGTTTTTTGTTGACTTGGAAAAGCTGTTATTTATATTGAGAATAGTGATAGCTATCTTTAACTTCATTGGAGAATCTTGAGCAAAAATACACAGTTTTATCCCAGGAAGGTAAACTTCCATGTGAACGTTGTCTTCATTCAGGCGTTATTTTCTGAGACTGGAAGTTCAACTTTGTGCAGTTGTCACAGATAATATTGTCAGAAATTTTGTAGTTTTGATTGAAATGTTGCCATCTACATATGTAAGTTAAAAATGCTGAAAAAGTTCCCTTAGGAAACAGTTTATGGGGCCAGAAGATTTTTAAGTTTAGCTCATATAAAAAAAAGCTGCAATATTCTTGCCATGGTTTTGCACTTAGATGTCTCTCATTATGGGATGGAGAATGTAGCAGTTATAGTACTGTATGAAAATACTTACTATACAGTTACAGTACTATATGAAAATACAGTATGGTATGAAATTATTTGTCCAAAAATTTACTCCAAAAATGGAGCCTGTATGATTATATAACTATGAAACAGGATGGGAGAGAAAAATAATCATTTACTTCTCTGTATTGTACTATGAAAACTTCTGATTTAATACGAACTATTTCTTCTCATTTCTTCACTCCCAGTATCTCCCATATGCCCAGTATACAGTAGCCACTTATAATTATATGTTTGGTAAATGCACAAATAATAGTGAAATTTAATAATGTTTCTTGTGTCGGTTCTTAAAATGATAAAAATGAATCAGTACAACAAAGAGAACTATGGATAGTAACCAACACAAGAAAAAAAAAGCAAAACAATAAAATTCAGAAGAAAATGAGGAAACTTAGAGGGGTAGCAAAACAACATTGCTGAAGTTATAGGTTTATTTTAAAATCCAAAGAAGTAAATAAGCAAACAGAGTAGGTAAAGCCACAGCTATAGCAGTATACAGCTGAGACGTTCCTTATTGAGGCTTCGTAGGCTACTTCAGAAGGGACACTTCCAGACAAACCTTTAAGAAGGACTAATCAGGAAAGAAAAAGACCCAAATGAACAGTATTTAGGTAAAAACACAAAAAAGATATAACTACAAATAAAGATTAAAAATAATAAGAATACTGTTAATTTTGGAAGTGTAGAAGAAACTGATATATTTTTAGGAAAACAAGTATTAGCAAGATTCATCTAAGATTTTGACTATTTATTTACTTTTTTGAGACAGTCTCCTTATGTCACCCTGGGTAGAGTGCAGTGGCATCACCTTAGCTCACAGCAACCTCAAGCTCCTGGGTTCAAGTGATCCTCCTGCCTCAACCTCCCAAGTATCTGGGACCACAGGTGCATACCACCCTGCCCAGCTAATTTTTCTATTTTTTGTAGAGACAATGGTTTCACTCTTGCTCAGGTGTGGTCAGGCTGGTCTCCAACTCCTGGCCTCAAGTGATCCTCCCACCTCAGCCTCCCAGAGTGCTAGTATTACAGGTGTGAGCCACTGCACCCAACCCGATGGCTCATGTTCTGTGGTGCACAGTTGACTTTGAGTGTTGCTCTTGGGTCAGGCATGGCTTGTCAAGGACTTATTTAACCAGTGGGAAAGTAAGGTTAAACCTTTGTAAGCAATGCTTCTCAAACTTTATATACAAATCACACAAGGATCTTAAGAAAATGCAAATTCTGGTTCAGCAGGTGTGGAGTGGGGCCTGAGCAATGCTCTGCATTTCTATCAAGTTTCCTGATGATATTAATGCCATTGGTCCATGAACCACACTTTGAATAGCAAGAGTCTAAAGGTTGTGGGATAAACTGCTATCAGCAGCCCAAAGGCCAGCTGGGGAGATGAGTACCGTTGCAGTGCCAGTGGAGAGCCAGATAGATCTAGTAATTTGATTCTTTAGAGTACTAAGAAAGGATCAGAAAAATTCATTCCTCATATCCAGGGTACTTGGTGGGTGTACCCATGACCTTGAGATCCAAATCTCATTAGTTAACTCGTCTTTGTGAAATCTGAGTTGTGAAGGTCTTCCCCAGTGGAACGAGTAACTAATGGAAGTGCTGACAGTTGATTAATGCAAGGAGCTGATACTCATGCATGATGCTTATCTTTGTAGCCATTCCATGAGAGGATCGTGGAAGATGACAGCACACTTTGGTGGTTAATGAGAGCTTCACTAATCTTATTGTCTGCTTGAGGCAATAAACAAAGTCTTCTGGCAGTGGAAAGCATGGACCCAAGACGGAATGTTCTGGCGCTTTACAGCAGTGGGGGCTGGGGGGAGGTAGGACTTAGTACGGCCCTTTGCAGCAAGGTCCAAGTGATGATTTTCTCTGGGAACATTGATGTGGACCCAGTCTCATGGTTAGATCCGGCAGTTTACATAGAAGTCAATTGGTAAGACCTCTTATACCTGTGAATGGAAGACCTTGACACACTTTATTATTACTGTTTTACAATAATTGAGCAGATGACTGTAGTAACTTAGCATAACCTAATACATGAATGTCCTGTATGGGTGACTGCTGAGGGTGTAGTGAAGGAGAGTTCATTTATAATTTGGCTGGTAAAGTGGATGTCCCTGTCCCTATTAATGGGCAAGGATATTAACATCAATATCTAGAAAAATTCTGCTGAGATTTTTATTGTGATGCATTAAATCTCTAGACTAATTTGAGGAGACTTTATATCTTAACAATATTAAGCCTTTCAATTTATGAACATGGTTTATATCTCAATTTATTTAGGCTGCCTTTGATGTCTTTCATCAGTGTTTTGTTACAGTTTTCAGCTTACAGATCCTGCACATATTTTGTTAGATTTAAACCTAAATATTTTATTTTTGGAGCTATTATAAATGTTTTCTTAAAAACTTTTTGCTTTCTAATGTTCATTGCTAGTACACTTGACCCTTGAAATCCCCAGTATACCCCCTCAGAACAAATCATGGCCTCTAGAGGTTTAATGAGGACTAGAGATAGCTGAATGAGATGGTTCCACCTGTTTTCACTTGGTCCTTGAGTCACTGAGTAAATGGCAACATGTCCAATCCACCGTGATGCTGCCACGAACTTGACCATACCCTCCTGTCTAGCCCTCTCCATCTAGACTACCAGTAGTTTCACTTTGCTTGGGAGGGTCAACAGTACAATTTCACTGTCCCACTCCAAGGCTACTTTACTGTTTTGTGCCATGGTATGGTATGGCCAGACCACTTCTCTAGTTCTGCCTTTGAGATTATTTTGGAGCTTTATATTGGTTATGTGCTTATTGAAGTATCATCGAGGCATTGATATTTTTTTTTTTCCTTTTTTTTGAGACAGAGTCTCACTCTGTTGCCTGGGCTACAGTGCTATAGTGTCAACCTAGCTCATTGCAACCTCAAATTCCTGGGCTCAAGCGATCCTCCTGCCTCAGCCTCCCGAGTAGCTGGAACTACAGGCATGTGCCACTACGCCCAGCTAATTTTTCTATTTTTTGTAGAGACAGGGTCTTGCTCTTGCTCAGGCCGTTCTCAAACTCCTGACCTCAAGCAATCCTCCTGCCTCGACCTCCCAGAGTGCTAGAATTACAGACATGAGCCACCACACCAGCTAGATCTTTGATAACCTCTGTCACTCATCTTCCAAATGACAGCAGATGGCTTACCAAGCAAGTATAAGGTTCAAGGTCTCAGCCCTGCAGTTTCATATTGTAGGTGTGAGGCTTAACATTCCTGAGGCCCTCGAAGAAAAGATTCCCCTCTATAGACTCCTATCTTTAATAAGGAGGCACAAGGCTTGGTTGGCCCATTTAGTTACTGACACACCTATATTACTCTCCTTGGCATCTTACTCTAGCCCATCCATTTGGTTATGTCGGTCTTCTATCTATAAGTGAACAAGAGGCACAAGAGAGAGAGAACTTAATACCATAATGCCTCCTTCCAGTCTCCTCTGAACAGTCAAGGATACTGGAGGCCTCTAGGTAAGACACACATGGATTCAGGAGCCTCTGAG